GTCGGGCGCGTCTCCGGCAGCTCCGGTGGGACCAGCGGGGTTGGGTGCAGGGGATTCTCTAAGGACAGGCAGCGACTTCCTGTCCATACAACCCGTTATGTGCCTTCGTTTGGCTTGTCGCGGGGAAAACGTTGTAAAACAAAGAGAAGTAGCGAAAAGGGATGGAGTTTCAGTGTTTTTAGCAAACCTGAAACCAAAGAGTGCAGAGGCAGAGAAGCACTTTGAAGGTTTCCAGTCTTGCAGGAGGGACTGGTTTGTTTTTGTGAACATGCTCAAAACACGTTCCACTCATTGATTCTAGTTACCATAAAACTCCCATATCTCTGCCGACTGAGCATTCTAGGCAAGCTGATTTTTTTTTAATCATGAAAGAGAATAGCCAACTGTTTTGACTTGTGCATGTGGCCTCAATTTTCTGTCACAGGTGCATTTCATTTTTTCTCTTCTTAAAGGGATTTAAAAAATCCCCATTGAATTACGCAGAGTGAAGACTGTCTGTGTTTCAGGCCCATTTCAAAGGTTGTTTGCATGTGTAAGTAAAACACCTGAAGTGGTGTGCCAAAGTTGCTCTTCTACTTTCTCCCTGGTTTAAAAATTCTGTTTTAATAAAAATTTTTTTGTCTTTTTTTTTTTTTCCCCCTAAGAAAAGGAATACAGAGGGAAGCAGTTTAACTGCATGGAGCAATTTCTGCTGGTGTGTGATAGGTGTTTGTTTTAGAATTGAAAATTTATAGATGTCGTCCTTTCAGATAAAAGTATGTTTTCAGTTTTGTTTGTGGAAACAAAATAAATAACAAATAAATACATATAAAAAAATCAGTTCCTGAGCAATTTTGACTCTTAGGTTTGGCAATTTCCTGAAGTCTCGGCGAAGCATAGAATACTCCAAGGAATGATTCCATAAGTTTTTCCTAACTATATTTTTTAGTATGGTGATATTCAATTCATGTGATCTTTTCTTCCTTCTTTCTTTCTTTTAGCACCAAAGGCACCTGTGGCCAGCAGCCTTGCCCTTGCAAGTGCAAGGCCAGCATGGAGACAGAAAGATCAGCCTCACACTCAAAAGCAATTTGTCTTTGAAAAGCCATCAGAGGTAAAACTAACAGGGTAACTAGCAGAATCTCATCTATTATAAAACTTCATATGATAGATAGCAATTATTTGAGAATATAGTTAATTGTTTAAAATCTGAGCTGAGCTTTGAGCTTTTGCTAAGCAGAGTTGGCAGTTGTTCTGTGTATATGGGGAAAAGAAGGTTATGGTCCCTCTGTTTAGACTGTTCAAAACCACTCTTTTACAGAGAGCCAAAAGAATATGTTTTACTAAATATTCAGTCTCCAATGTCCTAAGCACATTTGAGCTCTTCTTGTTTTCCTCAGGTGGGGTGTCTATCTTAACTTGTTAAAGGGGAAGAGCGTGGTATTTGTTCTGTAGACTTTATGTCCTGTCAGCTAATGAAGGATATTGTGCTCTATGCAGCGTATGGAAACTTCCTTGATTGGGGAAAAAAATAATAATGAGCTCTTCTTTCTAAGCTAGATCTATTTGAAAGGCTGTCATCTAGGCTTGGAAGATGGCCTGGGAAGATTCTCTTTCCCCCATGGCAGAGACCTGCTATCTGTATAGTACTATATTTTGATGCTCTTGTTGGCTCAATGCAGTAACTCCTTGCAAATCAGAACTGTACTGAGCTCAGAGAAGAGCAGCATAAATCCTTTAGACAACCAGAATGATAGCCAAGGCTGGATTAAACTGCCCTGTCTCTTAACAAAATACAGCTATCTCAGCTGTGCAGACAGCTTTACAGTGTAAGCTCCTGCTATGTCTGATCTTTCATGTTTTGCTTATTTGACTGAGGCCTGCAGTTTGTTCATGTTTCTTAGGGGTGTTCTGAAATTTTCCTTGCATGAGAATATTTTTATAAATATAAAAATAAGAATTTTCTTGATTGCCATTGATAAATATCAAGTATTGTGGTGCCTAAATAATTTAGAAATCAGTGTCCTTTAGGGGGCAGTTGATGGCTAAAAACCAGCCTGCAGTGGCAGCTGCGTTTGAGAGTTTCTGGGGCAAGGAGGGAGTGGCTGAGCTGTTACTACTTCCCTCTTGCCCTGAGGTGTGTTTTTCTCACTGGCCACACAGTGTGTGGCTACACAGAGTCACTAGAGATGATGTTTGCCTGCAGAGTGCCAGATACTTTAACATTCCCTGTGTACTGTCTCGTTGCCTTTCAGGTGGAGCGCAGAGTTCCAGAGGCAGGTGTGATAGAGTGAGTACCCTGCTGATTTCTCTGCACCTTTTCTGTTGTCACGGTCGGTAAGAGTAGAAACTGTGGACTTTTAGCCCTTTTATCATGAGCTGAATGTGTTACCAGGAGAGCCCAAGTCTGTAAACTGGTTTTTATGCCTTTTGTATAGCTGGCAAGCCAGTAACCATGAAGAGTTGAACATTGTGGTTCAGCACAATTTCCAGTATGTATCCTTTGTTAGCAGTCTAGATTTTCCTGGGACAGTCCCAGTGTGAATGTACTAGAAATTACTTACTCTGGAGTATACCAGAAATACAGCTGGTATGGCAGCTTCTTTCAGGACTCAGAGAAGTAGCTGATACTAAGTTTCATAGTGAAGCTGGGTATTTGTATGTCACTTACCCTTTGTGTTGAAGTGGAGATCTTCCCAGGATAACTTGGGCATTAAGCATGACAAGATGTGGTGCTGTATGGTGGAGTTAGAGATACTGAAAATCCAGCTTGGCTCAGTTTGGCTGTCTTGGTAGAATTTTCTTTCTCAGTGTACCTGTAAATGCAAACAGTGATCTGAGTGCAGTCATGTATGGTTGTCTCCCTTAGGTTCCCTGTGACATCCTTCTTTTATTTTTTTCCAAGAGCCTTAAAGCTGTACAGAGCCTTTGGTGAAGGGAGGGACAGGAGGTGCACACAAACTCATTGGCTTCTGCAGCACACCTTGCTGCCTTACTCTGACCTTTATGTCCAGGACATTAGTTCTTCCCTTTTCTACCTTTCTTTTCTCTTTTAAAGAAAACTTCCCCTAGTCCAGGCCTACAGCAATTCTAGTCTGTGCTGCTCAGTCTAAGATAATTTCTTGTTTGTCTTTCTGATGGCTCTTTCTTTTCTACATCCTCAGCAAGCCTGGTGTGTATGAGCTCAGCAAGGGACCCACTGGCATTTCTAGGTAAGGGGATGAAATGTTAATGGTTTTTGCAGAGTAATGTGGTGATCCTCAGCTTTCTGAAGTCCAGTCTCTGCAGAGGGTTTTGACTTCAGCAGCTGCACATGGCACTTCCTGTGCATCATCTTTCTAGAGTACTTCTGGAAATACTTTTGAGTGGCACATAGCAGGGACTGAGCTGGTTCTGAGCAGCACTGAAGAGAACAAAAGGAAACCTCTTGACATATGGTGTGTAGTGCATCTGCTGCTCTTTCCAGGATAAGGACAAGGGGCTATGTCTATTTGTGTCATGATTCACAGCAAGTTGCTGATGAGTATTTGGATCAGTATTCCTGTCTTAGCAAGTGTGTGATGTCTGTTGTACAGTTAAGAGCAGCCCAAAACTTGTACCTGTAAATTGGAATTGTTTTAAATAAATCTAATGAAAGCATTTAACTTTAGACAATTGTGGTAACCTCAGGATTGTCCCTTGTGCTTATATGCCATGCCTTAATTATTTCAGCTTCAGGGCACTTCAAAGCAAAACCTGCTTGTTCGGTGATTCCTACTAAGTAAAACACATTTTACTTTGCTGACTTAGCTGCAATATCAGTATTAAGCCTCTTCTTTTGAATTTGATAGGTTTTTATTAATAGTGGAAAAAATGCCAAAGACATAGTAATTTTTTGTGCATTTATTTAATTTCTTCTGATTATTGTATTATTTTATTTTTGTGCCTTCATCTTAGTTTCTTCTGAAGATGCAAATAAATCTTTAAAGTATTTTGAAAAGTAAAAGCTTTGACCAGCTGGAAGGAGACAAGATACACAGCTGGGTCATCCTGCATTTTCTGGAGTTTGTTTTCATAATACACTGACGGAATATATATATTTCTAGAAAGGTAATAGTCAGATTTGCAAATTTTTAACACCCCTACTATATACTCTTACTGTGACATCTTTGGGACATGAAGTACTTGTGAGAGTGAACTGCTGTTAGCAGCATTCCTTACTCTGCAGCCCACCACAGTGGTTGTAATTCTTGGGTGACTGTTAGTCCAATCAAAATATTAGATGACATATGGAAATGAAAAAATAGGAGATGTTAAATACTGTCCTTATGCTAAATACTTTTCCTTACGCTTTGAAAAAGAGAACAGGAATGGCAGTAGGGATAAAGGGCTGTCAAATTCTGAGTGATGAGGAGATGGTGAATAAAGGGCAATTATTTGCTTAATTTTGATTGTATTGCCATAATCAGGTCTGTCTGATTTATCAGATGTGAAGTTAATAGCAAGCAGAAGGATGCAGTTTTTCACAGCATATGGCTGATTCTGGAGTTCATGGTATGTTGCTGGTTGTCATATGTTTTTATAAGTTTTGAAAAGAAACATCATTCATCTAGTGAGGGTAAGACTCAACAGGAGCCCTTCAATTCTTTCCTTCACATCTGCTTTTGGCTGTGGTCAGAAACGGGATACTGGGCTTTGACTTTTGATATGATGCATTGCAGCCATTTCTAACTCCTTTGGGAATCCTGGAAATGAAAATATTTTCCCAAAGCAGATATAGAAGTGTATATTCCTTCCATTTTTCTTTTTCATCCTTAGGATTCATTTGATTCCTGGCTTTATTGACTCAGAACAGGCAGACTGGATGTTTGAGCAGCTCCTCCAGGACATCCCCTGGGCTCAGCGAACGCACGTCAGGCAGGGTAAGGAGTGTGTGGCCACCTTTTCAGGTCATTCAGGTCAGTTCCATACCAGAGTCTGTGCACTGCTTACAACTGGTTTGCATTTTCAGTGTTACCACTTCTTCAAGTTTCCATGCAGGTTTTCCATGCATATCTGAAGGCTACTGCAGCTTACATTTCAATCTAATATCATGTTACTGTTGCCAGCTAAATGAGATATTTTCAAAATAAAATTGCCTATCTTAAAAATATTGGAATTTTACTGTTTCTTGTCATTTCCAGTTCTTTTACTCACTCATTTTTTAAGATTTAGTCTGGCCACCATCACAATCTCCCAGCAATACTTAAAAACTGTGTTCTTGGAGGTTTCTTTCATGAGGTATATTTTTTGCCTATTTTACTGAAAATTCCAGCAGAACATGTTCATTTTCCTTTGGCTTGAGTTATTGGTTCCAATGTGCAGTTGGTGGAGAGGCTGCTATTCTGGATTTTTTCACTAAGGGGCACCTGTTCTAGCCAAATTTTGCTTTCAGTCAGGAGCTGATGTAAGATAATGTATCAGAGCAGTTACTGGATGGGACTGGAAAATGTCTTCAACCTGTGTGTTTGTTGACTGGCAATAAAGGGACAGTATAATGGAGAATGCTACCTGTCAAGCATGAGAAATAGTTGCCAAGATAGTCTTTTCAGAAGCCAAAAAAGTATTTTTAACATGATGTTTGTGTTACACCACAGAGCACGAACACATTTAACAAAATATTGTGTCCAGCCTTGCTACATTTTGTTTCTGTAGTGTCCCAAGGATGCTGCAATCCTTTTCTACTTCACCCTTTCCAGTGCATCTATCTGCATCTTGCAACTTAGGCCAGCCTACTGGGCACCCCCACCAAGTGAACATAAAGCAAGATAAATTTTCAGTTTTGTTTGCTATCTTTAACTCATCCAGTCTCTGCTATGTCTGGCATTTAGGGGTAAGAAAATGGATATGTTTCCAAGATTTTGGCTAGGTAATTCCTCCTGCAGATGCACACCTGATTTTGAATAATTTAATTCCCTTACTTGAGTTCATTATGTTAAGGGGCTGCTTTTTTAACTTTAGGTGAATGGACAATATATTTTTGATCAAGTTTCTTGGCAGAATTGTATCATCTTTCCATTTTTAAATTGTTTGATAAGTCGACTGAGAAAGTCTTCCTGTTTTTTTCAGAAGTATCTTTTGAGGAACCACGGCTTACATGCTGGTATGGGGAACTTCCTTACACATACTCCAGAATAACAATGCAACCAAATCCAAATGTATGTATATGTTTGTATGTGTTTTATTATTGTCTTCAGAGAAATCCTTTGCAGAGATCAAGAGACAAAATTTCCCTCTATCCTCTATTCTAGCTATCTAGAGAATCTGTTATCAGCAGTTTCTACTGGAATATGGTCAGTTTTATACAATACACTTCATGAGTGAGTTGGCTGAGAGCAGTCAGTGTGATTTAGCTGCCAAAAGGAGGTTACTACTCTAGTGTTTAAAGTTTTGCTTTGGGTTGCTGTAGCTTTGTACAAAACTCTGAATTGCTCTGTGTGACTTACTCCAAGCATCTTTGGATGGGAGATTTACTGCCCACAATAATACTGGTTTTTTTGCTGTAAAGATACCATAATACTAATTACTGAAATAGTTACTTTCAAAAGCACTTAGGTTCAATGCTGCTTAAATGAAAGTTTAGGCATATTTTGGTTCCTGTGTGGATGCTCTGAAATTCACACATCTGTGAGCTGCTGAGCAGCTCATCTGCTCAGCAACTCCAGATTGTAGCATGTCATTTCCCACACTGTTTTGGAAGAGTTAAAAGTCTTCTGAGTGACTCAGTGATGTTTTGTTCATGTTTTCTCTCTCTCCCCCTCTCTCTCTCAGCCTGTTGTCCCATCAGCCTGTCTCTTGGAATTGCTTTGTTTAAAATTTCCACAGCAGTAATTAGGTGTCACTGTTGAAAGCTGGATAGCATGAGAGTAAAGTGTCCCAAGTCCCAGAACTGCTGCCAAAGTGGGATGTTTGGGAAGAGTTGGAAAGGCACTATTTAACATGATGAGTTGTGAAGATTTTGTAGTCTCAAAAATACTGTAGTTAAAAATTCTATGGTCTATGGAACTTGTGGTTGAAAAACAAGCATTTCTTTGGTACTCATTTGTGAATACTGTTTTAACTGGGCTTTTCTGAAAGCTGAATGGCTTTAGGGATTGGAAGTGCCCTCGGTTGTACACTAATGATTTAAATGCAGTTCAGAACTGCCTGTTGTGAAATCCATTGCTGTTCAGAGATTGGATAGAGCCCCTATACCCTGAATTCAAGGTTTCATTTCAGTTTGCATCAAGTTCTGAGTTACCACTCATTGAGCCACTGGCTTGTTTCTCTCATCCAAAAGGTACAAGGCCTAAATGAATCACTCAGGCTGTGGTTCTGTCTTTTATTCTGGAATATTTCTGCTTTTTACTGAGAGGAAGAAACTCAAGCAGGCAGTGGGATGCACTGGAGAAATTGCATAGCTGGAAGCCAGCCCTTCCCCAGCTGGAAGTTGCCCATAGGCAGATCTATGGGTACACTCCACAGGGACACTGGTGTTTCACACAGCTTTGCAGGTGGGAGTACCTGCAGCTTAGAAAAGTAGGGATGGTGTAAAAGTACAGTCCCTACCTGTAGAATAGGGTTTCTAGCACTAAAATGTTATTTAGTTATTTAGTGCACAGCTTAGCCAAAACTGATTACTCCCTTAAACAATTGATCTGTAGGAGTAATTAGCTTTGTGTCCCTCCTTTTGTGTTTGATAAGAATTGGTGTGATTGCAGCACTTCTAGATATAATCCAGTGTTTGTACCTCAGTGATTTTTGCTATAAGAAAATATTTTTCTGTAAGCAGTGATAGAGTTGTTTCAACAAAACTACTTCCACTGCTACAGGTTTGTAGTGGGCTTTCAATTACGTTGTAAAATTCACTGTATGGTAACATTTTTTTAGTAATACATACTTCTGTGATGGGAGTTGAAGAAATATAGTCCTGGTTGGTCACTGAAAAGTACCCTCAATAATTCTTGTTGGACTCCTCTGCACATTCAGGCAGCCCAGTTGCAAAGCAAACTTTTTTGGGGTGGTATTACTGCTTTTCAGTTATGTTCCAGAACTGCAAGCTGTGTTTACCTAGAATTAATTAATCACATGATCCTTAATTGTTGAAGGCATGACTTAGCTAGAAATACCCCATTAGGGAAAGATGGTATGTTGAGGCTCCTGCAGTGTAACCAATAAGTTAAATACCTGTTAAACGTGGGGAAGCTTGGAAAGAAGGTAGTTCAGCCTTGTTTTTTAGAGATGGATACTAGAAAATATTCTCAGGTGCCTGCTGCTTTTTTTGCCAGTGGTGCACTGGGAGATTTGGAATCAGTTTCTTATCCTCTCTTGCTCTCTGTTTCTGCTTACATAATGGGCAAAAATCCTGGCCTACATTACTTTGGCTTTTTTTTTCTTTATATATTTGTGAAGTTCTTAAAAGCACTCTGACAGATGAAAGTCATGATGTAACTTCATAACATTAAATAACTGGACTGAGTTGTAATGGAATGTACAGAGCTTCCCTGGGCTGTGGGCTCAGCAAGGTGTTAGCAAAGGAAGGGATGAAGTCCAGGGCCAGTGACATTGGTGTTGAGACCCACTGAAGAGTTACAGTGATGAAGTTAAAACCCCAAGAGGTGATGAGATGAGCTCAACAAGCTGTGTTAACAGAGTGGGACAGAGGGCTGTGTTATGCCAACCATTTCCTCTTGTTCTCTGTCAACAGCTGCAGGCAATTGAGAGCAGTGTCACTTAGGCACTGATTGCCTCCATTAGTGTGAAGGGCAGCCTGGCTTCAGAGTTTTAAGAGATGATTTAGTATTGAGTGATGGGGTAACGTGTGAATATTTCGCAGAAAGCCCCACCCATTCCTCTGATCTACTAAAAATATCAGCAGAATTGCTGTAATTTGTTTGTAATTTGTTTGTTGTGGTTAAAGTGCAGTGCATTTTGTTTCTTGGTGGTTTTTGCCTTCTGTTCCTGGCGCTGACATTTGCCTCTGTGCTGGTTGCAGTGGCATCCCGTGCTGAGCCTGCTGAAGGAGCGCATTGAGGCGTTCACTGGCCACTCCTTCAACTCTCTGCTCTGCAACCTGTACCGCAGCGAGAGGGACAGCGTGGACTGGCACAGTGACAGCGAGCCATCACTGGGGAGAAACCCTGTCATCGCCTCGCTCAGCCTGGGGGCCACTCGGACCTTTGAGATGAGGAAAAAACCTTCCCCTTTGAGTGTTCGTACCGCACTGAGAGACTCCTAGAGCTACTAACAGGTTTATTATTTTCCCCATTTAAGGAAACTTAATTACTAAAGCATTTCACAGTTAATGAAAGCACAACTTGCAGAGTTCTGTGGAATAAGTGCAGGGCTCGAGAAATCTCTTGCATGGACCATGACATTCTGAGGATGGGGATGGGAGCACTCTAGTTTAATGTGCAGCAGTGTAGTGTAGTGCTGCAGTGAATTGGAGCCCAGACAGCCTTCTGCCCAAATAAGGGTCCTTTCTGGTACTTAAAATGAGATCAGTGGTGCTGGAAGTGGACTTACACTGTGCAAATGAATCAGAGAGTTGCAGTTTCTTAAACTCAGGACAATGTTATGTAATGCAGAGTGTACATGGGGTGAAGAGTAGTTCTGACTACTCTTGTAAGTAAAAATCCTCTTGACAATGTTTTCATTTTGATGCGTGTGTATTCAGATTGAGGGGCAGTGAACAAAGGGAAGAAGCTCATTTCTTTTCCATGAAATGCCTTGGAAGCTGTCACATCATACTGGCAGGCTAAACAGAGATCTGCTACTTGGATAAAGAGACCTGTGGAATATAATTTTGGGAGTTAATTGGTGATTCAGTAGTGAATTTTCTTTCTAGATGAAGTGCTGTGCTTGAGAGTGCTTTGTTTATAAGCCAGCTAAAATTTCCCAGTTTTTATTTATCCAAGTAAAGGATTCACATGTGTTGAGAATACAGGCCTTATTTTAGCATGTCCTGTTTCAGATGAATTTTCTGCTTGTGCAGTCTGACAACTTTGGAAAGAAGTTTGCTAGCTGCTTGTGTTGTTATTTATTCTGAGTAGGTAGTACAGAAAGCAGAGGTGATAATTACCAGCCTACAGGAAAACTGTGCTGACATACTGAAGTCTGCCCATGAAGAGTCACCTTGGGTCACCTAGTCTGAACAGCAAAGGTCAGAAATTGAACCAGAAAACAAAGAGTTTGTAGTTTTCACCAGATCTCCAATTTGTAAATTCTTTGTTGCCTGAAGTGAATTTAGTCTTGGTCCCTGGGCATGAGATCGCATAACCAGTCTATTATGTCAGTGAGCATAGCATGAGTAAGTATCCCTGATGCTGTATTGATAATAAAATGTCAGCTGGAAAGTTTATTCCTCTAGAAAACTGTAAATGGTGCTTGGATTCATTTTAGAAGTCCCTGTGTTCCCCATCAATCAGAACAAATCAGAATAATCAGAATCAGAGTAAAATACACTTAAACTTCAGTATAAACTTTGCAAGTTCTCTCTTAAAAATCGATCCCAGTTCTTGAGTAAGATGCCTTTTTTATAGATTTTCTGAAAAGACACCCACTGTTAGCAAAGGGGAAATTCAGTCTGTGCCATTTGTACTTGACTGCCTTGTTTGAGCTGTACTGCACAATTTCTTCCCTTTTCTTCCAGGGATGGATGGTTTTCTATAGATGTATCCCTCAGGCTCTCCTCTTTTTTTTTTTTTTATCACCTTTGACCTGATATTTCTGACTAGCTGAGTCTTGCTATGAAGTGTATCCCTGTTGCAAGTGACATACCTTTTTTCTGAGGTAGAATCCTCATTTGCAGATCTTTGGAATAGTTGCTATTAAGTGTGTCCTGTGCCTGAGGGAATTCATACTTAATAATTCCATGGCACACATTATGTATTCTTTGCACATTCCCAAAGTTTCCTCAGAGCATCCTATGATAATAGATGCTTTGCCAAGTGGGAGTTACAAGAGGCTGTGATGAAAATTACAACCTTTCAGGCTGTACTAAATAAGTAATTTCCATACCCTATTGTACTGTAGCGTTTTCTCTTTCATTAAGAGAAAGTTAAAACTGGTTGTAGATCTTTGAAGTTTGATCATTCCTTTGTTAAAAAGCAAGTTACAGGAAGAAGAACGTAATCTAGGGAAAAGGAATTCATATTAACAGTCATCACAGGCATTCAGGCTCTCCCTGGTTTCAGGATCAGCCAGTATCAGTACATTGAGTTTTCCAGAGTTAGCCTTCATTGAGGAGGGAAATAGGAAGTAAATCCTTTTCCTCCCAAAATTAAACCCATTTGAGGGCCAACACTGTGCTGTTTCAAGTTTTAGGGTTTCCAAGACCTTCGTTTCCCTCTGTTCTTGTAAGTGGTTTTAAGTATTTTGAGATGAAAGATAAAATGAACATACAAGACGAGAACATCACTTATGGTAGAACATCACTGTGGATAAATGGTCCTAGAAAAAAGGGTGGTTTCCTGTGTGGGACCATGTATTGAGTACAAAACTGCATGTACCACAATACATAGGCAGCTTGAAGGGCAATTGAAGAGTGCCAGATCAGAGACTTCAGTTCATCTTGGTATCTCTACAAATATTTTCTAGATTATCACTTGAAATGTGGATGAACCTGATAGTGAATAAAATCCTGTTTCTCTGATTGAAAAGATGAACAGTAGTGCTGATGGGTTGCATTTTTTGTGCATGTTTATGTGAATTTTGACAATTGTCTGTTAGTAGTTAGTGTTTATATAAGTCACTCTGAAACAATTACACAATCTGAAATAGTTTTTCACTTGGCAAAAATGAAAAGAAAGTTACTTAGGTTCAAGTGGGTTTTTTTATGATCCTGAAAATTGTTCTAGGATGAGGTAAGGAAAGGTTCAGTCCTCTGCTTTTCATTTTGGTGAGCACTGTACTGGGTATCATCATATAATAGAGGGTAAAGGAGTGCAGAGACATGCATAGACTATTCATATCTTCTTAAACAAGCATTTTTTGTGGATAAGTAGAAATAATTCTTACTGGGATTTCAGCCCTGTGCATGTTAAAAAAGCTGCAAATACATTTCAGGTGTAAATTCATCACGGAAAAAGGAGACTTCATGGGAATTAACATGACTCCAGCAACAGCTTTATTTTGCCTGCTGGAATTTTTAAGCATTCTTTTTTCTAAATACAGCCTCTTCTGTTTATTTGGACCAATTACATGATAGCAGCTGGTATTTTTCCTTTGCTTTAAATGGTTTCTAGGGTTTTTTGAGTGCCTGCTTCATAGTTAAAAGTCTACAGTGATGTTGCTTCTTCTATTTTCTTCTTCCAGCTCCAATAAATTGCTTTAACCTTGCTCCTGCTTTCTTGTTCCTCCTGCCTCCATCATTGTAGCTCCTGCCTACACTGAAATCAGGAGACAAATGCTTTGCTTTGGAGCTGTGATTCATACACAGCGCACACAGCTCTTGTTGAGTCAGTGAGTCCTCGTGTGCTTGCCTACAGCCTGAGTGTCACCACTGTGGCACTGTGACCTCCTCGCATTGCCCACACAGCCTCAGCCCCCAGGCCCACTTGGACATGAATTCATCCTGCCCGTGGAGAGGAGTTGGTTCCTCTCTGTGGGATGGGTGTTTCTGGTACAGCCTGACACCATTTGTGCTATTGCTGGTTCGCTGCTCAGCTCTGAGACAGGGCCGGGTTATCTGGTCGTGTCCCCCTGGAAGCTGAGTGGGGAGTGTTGCTGTGGGGAGAGGGGTGATCCCTGATGCCCCACTCTCCACTGGGAGGTGCCCTGTGGTGGGGAGTGGGTACCATAGGGACAGCTGGGTGGTCATCCAGCAAATGGCCATGTGAGCTGGGCAGGGAGTTGGAAAGCCAGCTGTCAGCTTGCCCTTCTTCCATCTATAACCAAGGAAGCTGATGGCTGCTGGGAAGGGAGGGAGCTCCACACCTGTTAGACAATAGCAGGATGTTCTGGTGTTCAGGGAGTCAGCCTTGAGATGGGTCTGTCCTTCAGATGAATCCCTGAAGCACAGTCCTTTTATCCTAGCAGAAGGTAAAGCTCTCCTGGAAAGAGCAGAAAAATAACCCTTTGTGTCATAACAGACTGAATTGAAAATGCAGGTGGGAATCTGGAGCATGTTATAAGCAGGGATTCAGACCAGGATATGAAGCAGGTTGAACTTTTAGATTGGCATCAGAGAGATTCCCAGGCAGTGGTGGCTGCAGTGGAGGAGGAGGAGGTGTCCCCAGCAGTGGCAGGCCTCAGAAGCTGTGGGCAGGCAGGGAGGAAGAAGGGAGAGCTCAGCTGCAGGAGTGAGGGAGTCTCAGGTTAGGCCTCTGTAGGCAGACCAGTGCACCATGTGAGCAAAGGGCAGTGTTACTGATACTCATCATTACTGAATCTGTAAGGAACTGCGGTGAGGATTTTGTCAGAGACAGTGAAAATAAACATGTTCAATGCAGAAGTATTGCTAGGTGAGAATACTTTGTTGTGGAGGAAGGTGTTTACACAGCTGGTGCTAGAGATGTATACTGGAGAACAGGGATACAATCCAGATGAAATCTGAAAAATACAAGATTTGAACTTTTTGTTAGGATGATGCTCTTGGTAGTTGGTAAATAGGTGAAGCAGAAGACTAGAAGGCAGTATTCTCCATGAAAAATGCTGACTTTTGAAATTGAAAATGATTTTGCATCATTTGCCTGTATAAATGCATTATTATTTATACATTCTTCTACAGGATGTTTCCATTTACTTTTCCTTATAATAGAAGATTCCTCTACACTGTCCAGAAACCATTTCCTACAACTATAGCCATGAACTTTACTGAGACTTCAGAAACAAACTTGGGTGATTTACATAGATTTGTATTAAATCTTTTCTCTTTTTGATTTTCAACAAAACAACCTTGATGGAGTCCAGGAATTCTTACAGATTTTGTATTCACAGCTTCCCATTAACTCACACTGAGCTTTCCTTACTTATTAACTGTAGTTACTGTAATTAAGTATTTAAAAAAAATTAACCAATGTACTTGGATAGTGTAAAGCTTGGATTGTTTTGAATGTGTAACTCAGGATTATGAAAATTTTAATGTATAAAAAGCAGAAGAGTTGCTTTACTATACCTGCTTTTTAAGCAGATGGGTTTGTGGTACATACATAGTATTACAAAGTGAACATAAAGAAGTCACCTGATGCACTTTCCATGTTTGTTACCAGAAGGTCTTTTCCACCTTTGATGCCAAAAATAAATTTCCTTCATAAGCTTCTTGACCTCTGAAAGTGAGTTTTCTGTATGTCTGACATCAGCTCTAGGAATAAAAGTTCTGAAAGGAGCTTTGGTTGACAGTAATGGCACATAAGAAAGTAAGAACTTTTTGTTTAACTTCACTGGCTTTGCAAAGCAAATGGACATAAAAATCTCTTTTTCTAAGTAAAATGGAGTTCAGAGATGTCCCATTTAAACCAGAAACTAATTATTGTTTTTACATACTGACTTTTCTAAGCCTAAAGGATGTTTTCTCCTAAATCATTTATCTTAGCAGAATTCCTTTTTAATCAAGATGAGCAAGAGATAAAAATAAGCCCACTGTTGTCCATCACAAAGTAAAATGATGTAATCCTCTGAAATACAAAATATGCATGCAGTGATATTTCTCTGCTTTTCCTCAGCAGTCATGTTTATAGTACCTATTTTTGAATTTTTTCCCCGTTTCCATTGACAATAAGAAAATGTTTCCTGATACTGACTTGATACCAACCAAGCTCTTTGCATTCCAGGAAGTGCAGTCCTTTTTTTCTCTGCATCTTATTTATAAACACACACACACGCTCCTTGGTGGTTTTCTGAAAATCAAACTGTTTTAGTTTAGGACATAATTTTCCCAGTATTTGTTACTGTACCTCATTATTTTGAGCTTCTCAGCAAGCTGTGAACTTTTATAAGGACAAACCTTCTTCAAGCTGTACTGCTACACACTGAGCAATGTATAACTCTGATTTAAAGTTGGAAAGGATAGTGCAGAGCAATAGAGAGTTGCTGTTCCCACTCAGTGTGGCATGTGTGAGACCACTGCTGGGGTGTGTCACTACGTTTAGTTGTTATATTTGAGTTTTAAAATAGTTACACATAATCTAAAGGCTTAACAAAAGTTTGCAAATTAATTGTCTTTTAGTTTAGCATTCTGTTTTGCTTAGTGGTGATTAAGACAACTTGCTTTACCAGATATTATAGGAAAAGGAGATTTTTTTTTTAATTAGAAAACCTTCTTACAGTAGCTAGAGGCATAGCAGCATGTAATGTTGTAACAAGAGAAATTCAGAATAGCAGGAAGATGTTACTTTCGATGAAGTAGGTACTGTTGGAAATTAGGGTGGCCATTGCAGTGTGTCTCCACACTGAACTGTTTAAGATGTTTCCACAAGGTTTGCAGCCTCACTCCAGAATTTTGCACTAAATCCAGGAACTGGTTGTTGAACCTTACCTGTGGCATCCAGCCAGTGAGATGCAGTGGCTTCTTTTCATCGTTTAAATGCTCAGCTCCTGGGCTTTGTATGAAGTACAGATACAGAGAGGTTTACTTTGACCTCTTGATCTTGGAAGAGCCTCCTCCCTCACAGGCTTTTTAAGCTCTGCTGTAAAGGACTGGTTTTCTAGCAAATGCCCATGCCTGCTTCTTCAGTGTCTGATGTTTCTTTTTAGGAAGAGGATGGAGACTATACTTATGTGGAAAGATTTAGAATCCCACTTGATCACGGGACTCTGTTGGTGATGGAGGGAGCCACCCAGGAGGACTGGCAGGTAAGAACTCCTCGGCGCAGTTTATGTGCTTCACTTGCAATGCAGTTGTCCAGATTTGCTGAGGCACTCCCCTGAAGGTACAGGACATTCTGCTTCCAGTGGCACAGCTGTTTTCCAAGGCATTGGTGTTACTTTCTGCCTGAGAATTTGAAAGCACCCACAGAAACAAGGGGCTTGCTTTCATGTGCCAAGTAATGCAGTGGAAATCAGTTCAGATGTTCCAGCATTAAAGTTCAGTGACAAAGGTTGCAGCCTGCACTGAGAAGAACAAAATCAATAGAGAAATTTAGAATGTCAAAAGTTGTAACTTAATTAAGAATTCTACAGTAATGTACAAAGACTTCTTGTTTTCAGTGGCTCTGAGCAGTCAGAACTTTTTTTTACCTTACCTAAGTGTTTAGAAATATGAATAAAAAGCCATCGCAGGAAATGAAGGTTTTAGTCATTGTTTAATTGTTTGATTACTTGTCTTTTAAATATACAAGCTCATGCTTTTTTTTTTCTTTTTCCCCCCTCTAATGCCACTTACAGCATCGAGTGCCTAAGGAGTATCATTCTAGAGATGAACGAATAAACTTGACATTTAGGATCATTTATCCAGAACCTGATGGAGTTTGGAAGTGAAGAGCCCCTTTGGACATTATTGGATGTACACCCACAGCAGATCTAGAGCCTTAGATTGCTGCTGATTCAAAGGAAGCCTTACAGAAACAGAGTTCCTTGAAGTCATGGGAAAAAGAGTTGGTATTATGAAGACCTTTGGCAATCAGAAGCTGCCTGTGCTATGTGGACAGAAATTATATGTTATTAGATGAGACTAAATCACAGGCTTCGAGTTTTTGAGCAGTGATTATTCTTAAAAGAGCACAAAGCAGGTGAAAGATGTGAGAGGTCCCAGCTGGAGCAGACAGATTCAGTGAGCACATAGTTTGCACCTTGTCTTGTCTCTCCTTTACTCCCAAGTTGTGATCTCTGTTGGAAGTAATGACAAGATGGGATTCTGTGATGTAAAGCCACCTCTGTGTGTCTGTACAGAAATGGGAAAGCTGCACTTGGGGATGATCTCTGGGTATTAGCTCATTTCACCAAAGGGTGGTGCACTGCTTGTCATCTGTAGGTTGCAGAGTCTTTTCCAGTTAAGCAATCAGTTTCATAACTTAAATAACTACTTGAATTATACTGGTGTCCAGTGGAACAGAGGGTCAAGGCTCTCTTCTGCCATGCACTCTGTGGTCAGACTTTGTCCTAACTGTTTATCCATGTAGACAGGACAAGGCAAAGGCAGCAACAGAGACATCTGATGACCATGCTTCTGGGTCAGTGCATTTTGCATTCAAGAATATCACTCTTGAGCCTCTCTTATCTCTGCTGCCACAGATCAGCAGTCAGCACCTCAGAGCAGATTCCAGGCTGACTGCTGGAATCCTTCAAGCTTGCCTGCTGCAACTCACCTGCTGCTGGGAAGCAGTGGGCTCATCTCTGCAGTCTGGATGTTTAGTCAGGAGTGCTGCCCATGTGATTAAGTTCTTTCTGCAGCTAAATATCATCCCTGTACAGGATCAAATCACAGGTTTGGTCCATCTTCACTGCCTGCCTGCAGTAGGATCTAAGCACAGGTGAATCATCTATGCCTTGCAACACGTTAGCTTTGTTAAGCAAGCTAATGTCCATTTTCACTGTAAGATAAATTGGTGTTGGGAAAATATCTGTATTTTCTTAGCCAGCATTTGTTGTGGTTTCAGTTCTTATTTGGTGAGAGCAGTCAAGTTATTAATACTTAGTTATGCCTATGTTTTAATGTTATTGATGACATAAAGGACATAAATGTTGGGCCATTTCACTCCCTGTGGTCTGAAACTGGGCAGAATAATATCCTAGAAACAGCTTCTCTACCTAAACCACCATACATTATTCTTCTAAAATGATTGAATGTTACTAGAAAACTTAACTTCATTATCTAATTATGTCTTTACTTTCATCCCAATTTGTACAGAAATGTTTTTGGAGTATTTTAATGTTGTTTTCTTGCATTTGAATCTTTTGTCTAGGCTCTATGATATATTTCATGGGAATCAGAGTTGAAGGAGGCAGACACTTTCATATTTACTTTCTTTGGGTCATTGGAGCTTTGTGCACATCCCTGTGTGTGTGTGTCCAGTTTGGCAGTGCTGACAGAGTGGGTGTCCTTAACCAAGGGACAGTGCTAATTTGTCAGGTGCTCTGAGAAGGCAACACTTTTGCCGTATCAATTCATACAACTCCATTTGTTTTCACTGTGTTAAGAGCAGCCAGACTACAAGAAAGAGTAGAAGATGGGGATGAGTTGGAAACTTTTAAACCCCCAACCCTCAGCTTGTGGAAATTGCAACTCATTTGAATTCAGTGAATCTATGGCAAATAAGTAATGGCAAGACCCTGGAGGCTGATGCTGTTGTGGAAGAGCAGTTTTTCACCTCCTTTTCTTGGTTTCAGTTTGTCATGTTAGCAAATTTTGGTTTAGTTTCCTTACTTCCTTTGATTTGGGAAAAGACCAAGTTTTCCTCTCCAGAAGTGAAGTGATTTATAGGAGAAATGTTCTCTCCCCCAGTGCTCCTTTTGTTGCTGGAGACTGCTGCATTCTGCTTTCTCTCACGTGTCAGCTTCGCTGTATCCAGATCTGTTTGACAGTGAGGAGAAGGCATATGGCACCATTCCCCAGCCTGTGCTGTGTGTACTGGCTGCAAGGGGAGCCCTTGGCCTAGGGGTCAAGTTTCTTTGTCAGCTGGGAGCTTGTGGTCCTTCCTTCCTTCCTTCCTTCCCCCACGTAGCAGCAAATTGCAGCCCCCTGCCTGCCAGGACAGCAGGAATGGCTTTGGGCAGAGGAGTTTCCAGCCCAGAGCTCCTCAAGGGACCTTTCTGCAAGGACTTTCCTGGCAGTAGAAATTTGTTCCAGGGTGCTACAGGCCCTCCTGCCGAGTTCTCAAAATGGGTGTGCACAAAAGTGAGATTTGAGAGTTCTTGAGCTGGTGCTGTTCCCTTGACACCTAAAGATTTTTCACTAGAGACCAGGGCAATGTGCACGTTTCTTGTGCTGCTGTTCAGCTGTTTCTGCTGTTGCAGTCAAGTGCAAAGGGCAGCATGTTCAGGATGGTAAATATGCAGTTAGGTTCCATTCTTTAACTTAAAGATAGGTGGAGGAACCTTTCCCCTAGATACATGGGTTTGAAAACAGTGCTGCTAAAAATGTCATCCAAAAGAATTACTTTCCAGTTTAAAAGCTTGCTTTCTTCCTTCTCAGGACTGTTGTGAGATTCTCAGCCAGAAACTTTTTGAAAAATAATTTAAACTCAGAGTACACTAAAGTAAAATATACTTTTTATATGTTTACAGAGGATTTTGTTTTTGTGATTGGCACCAGATTCTGTCCATCTGAGGGGCTGCAGCAGCTCCAGTGAGCTGCTTTGCTTACAGAACACCTCTCTGTCACTATTTTTATGTGGAAGATAAAAACTGTGCATTTACTTTTTTCCTTTTCTTCAAAATACAGAATGGGTTTGGGTTGGAAGGGTCCTTGAAGATTTCAGCAGATTATGTGTCTCTTTCAAAAAATGCTTAAAAATTGCATTCTTCAAAATTGTTTGACTTTGGCTTTCAAACAGGTGGAATCTACTAGTAACCCCAGGTAAGATTCCCTTTTCCAAAACAGCCATCACCTTTTCCAGAATGTACTGGCCCTCAGATTTGATGATAAGGAGCAGATGAATGGAATCTGTCTTGGGTAAGGATGGACAGTAGCCTGCCTTCCTCAGGGAACCTGTAGGATGGAGCTGTTCTGAAAAAAAACCACAACTGGGTCCATATGTAACCATTCATTTATTTAGCAGCTCTATAAGCAATGACATTATTAATTAACCACACTGGTGTCAGGCATCACTCTGTCCCCATGCTACCTGTAATCATTTTGTCACAGAATACTTGAATATTCAAACACAAACTCTTGCTGAGATTGGAGTGTATCTCAATACTGTTCAATACTGCACTTCTGGGCCACAGTGGGTTGATCTGAGCACCATTTGAAATCAATAGCAAAATTCTGTCACTCCTCTCCTCTGGGTTTTGGGGCTTTTTTTTTTTTTTGTTTTTTTTTTGGGTTTTTTTTTTTTTTTTTTTTTTTTTTTTTTTTGTGAAAAAGAACTCTTTAGGTTATTCAGTTCTGATTAGCTTTAAAGCCATAGATAATTTGATAATTTTCCTTCATCTGTGTCAGATAAATTCTACCTGTGTCTTTTCTGATTGCCATGACTTACAGGGTTAGTATAGCTACACATAGTAATTTATAGCTATAAATGGTAATTTATAGCTACAATGGTAATAGAGAAGGAGACAGGGTGCCAGGAAGGGGTTAAGTAGTCAGAATTTTCATACTGTAGTGTTGGCAAAACACAGAGGACTGTTCTCCTGGGGTTTGGGATAAAAGATGCATGTATGATGGGTGCTGTGAATCCATAATGCCTCCTCCTCAAGTGCTGCTACTATTGCCTTAGCTCAAAAGCATTTAACACCCACTTTGCCTATTCTGACCATAAACCTTTTCAGAATGGATAGGAAATCTGCTTCACTATGGTTTGTTTTCAGAGTGCTTCTTTTCCATCCTTGAGGTTTCCATAGCAACCTGGATAATTTGTTTAAATTGGAGCATCCTGGCCTGGCCTGTCTGCACCTAAGTTCTGCTGAGATCTTGCAGGTATCATCTCAACCCACTGGGAAGTGCCTGGTGATGGTTGGCCATGAGAGCACTGGCCCTTCCCCATGAGTCACCCACTCATCAGGGTGACAGATGTGTGCTTTCTCCCCTGTGTTCCAGTTTGATTTACCTCCTCCTGCTGTGTGGTGTTCAGAAGAGCTTGGTGGAGTTATTGCCAGCTCCCTTGTAGCTGGCAGGTCCTTGGTGGCTCACGCTGGGAAAGCACCTCTCAAGGGAGCTGGAAGGTCTTGTTTTAAGTAAAGACAGTGGGGACTGTATTGAAGAATTTAAATCAGAATAAGGAGCAGGGAGGTCTGTTCCATGGTCCCCATTGTTTGTTTGATTGAGGTTTCCCAGCAGAAGCAAAAATTTTGTTCTGTTCACTCAGGAGATTTTGCTGTTTGAGTGAGACTTAGAGCAAAGTCTTCACATCTCACAGGATCCTCCTGGCAGACAGTGCTCGCTGGATCCAGAATGGTGCTCAGCTGAAAGTTTCCATCTAAACTTGGGTGTGCAGCTGCTTTGCTGGGTGTTGTTTGTTCTGTTGCTCTGCTCCCATTGTGGAGGCAATGCCCAGATCCATGCTGAAGGTGGGTTGACATTACAGCTGATCTCTGAAATGCCAGTGCCAGCCCTCTGCCCCTGTGTTTCCAGAAATGCCTTGTGCCAAGGCAAGCTGCCATGCAGCTGGAAGAACATGGGCTAGAAAGAGCCTCAGTGTTGGATGGGATGGGATTTGTAGCTGTGACTTATCAGGGCCTTATCATTGGGTCCTCATCATCGTTAGGGAGGGCTGTGGGAAGGCTTGTCCTGAAAGCTTCTGATGTAGAGAGCAAGAGATAAAGCAGGAGTGAGCAGAGACATGAGTGGCCAGAGGGTGTACTGGCCCAGGTGTACAACCCACACTTCCTGGCTGGTTTGTCAGGATGCAGAATCTACATGGTTCCCGGTTTCTGTTCCCCACCTCCTGCTCTTTGGGGGCAGATCTGTGTGAAGGAGACAGTCTGGCCAACTGGCATGGCATGCCTTTGGCTTGAGACACCTGTGGGAGCTTGGAGAGGAGAGTGCAGGAGGGTGCAGGCTCGCCAGTGTTTTGGGACAAAAAATGGTGGAAGTGGGAGGGAGAGGGTGGAGAAGTAGTGGTCACATCAGTGAGACAGTGTGTGACAAACTGTACATAATGCAAAATTTGCCAATACCTGCAATTTCAGAGCACTGATGGAGCCATGACAGCTCATGGCAGAGAAGAGATTGTTACCCTGGAATAAGCTGACAAGCCAGCCTGAGGAAATCCTCCCAGGCCTCAGGGCTGGGAGTGAGTGAGTGAACCAGGGCAGGGTAGACGGGACACAGCATCATCTTGGTGCTGCAGCAGCCATGGGTGAAAAAGAATGTCCTGAGCATTGGCTGCTCCTCTGTAACACCTTTGTATTTGCACTAAACATTTTTTCCTGGTGACCTTGCCAGTTGTCTCCTGGCTTTACTTCCCTCGCAGAGGCTAAAGTGGCTCTATTTTACCTTAGAAAAGATCATTCCTCAGCTTTGGGCACTATGGGCTTTCATCTGACAGGAATGGGGTTATGCTTTGTTTTCTCTCTTCTTGTCTGCATTGTCACCACTCTGGCTGCTCTTGGCAAGGCAGGGCTTCAGTTGCTGAACCATCACTCAGCAATTTACTACTTTGGTTGTTAAAATTTTTGTCTAAAGTCCCCGGAAACGTTTAGAGATTGAACAAAAATGTCTCAAGGATTAGGTTACTTGAAGCCTGATAGTTCAATTGTCAAGAAACTTCTGTTTTTAATCTCTAGACCACAGTTGATTTCTTTCTTGATTGTTTACAAATAGACTTTTAAAGAGAAGAAAAAAAAGAAATTTATTCTGCTGAAATAAGTGGATGCTCTACAGTGCTTTTAGCTGCAGGAGAAAATGGAAGATGAAATCCATCAGAAGTGTTAAGATCTGATTTGTGGCACCAACTTAAGATTTTTGATCTTGACTCAAACAGAAAAGATTTTCCTTTTGTCTGACCTTGAGAGCAGACAGAACCTTTGGGGCCATGCTCTCTGTTAGGTCTCTCTGACCCAAAAAGATGAGGCCTTCCTTGTTATTTTTGAGATGTGTGGCCAGTTTTGTCCCCACATCTGGGAGAGGATGGGAGGTCTCAGGAATAATTCAGTTCCAGCTCAGCAGTTGGGTACAGAAGAGAACCCAGGACAGGTGCTCTGTGCTCTGACAGCCCTGGGTTGCTCTGGGCTCCCTGGCAAGGAGCAGAGAATCCTTCTCTCCTCCCTGCCTTGCCAGTACCATTTGTGCTCTGCAGCTGGCAGCTCAGAGTGCAGGGCCACCAGCAGTGTCCCAGCCACCAGCTCAGTGTGGAGCGTGTGGAGGGTTGGGAATTCCCAGGATTCGTCAGCAAAGTTCTTCTCTGCCCACAGAAAGTCTGTTTTCTTCCCAGACATTTTAAATAATTTTGTGGGGCAAAACATTTCTTCTGGATTTTGAACCTGAGATAGAATGTCCTGAACTAGAAATCCTCATTTCTGTGCTGCTTACTTGATATAGGGTCACAGTAACAGCTGGACATGGGAATGAATACCTTGGTATTTAGAGCCATGGGAGGTTAGAGGTTTTACTTCATGTGACAGCAGCTTGTACCAGGAGGAACTTCCAAAGCAGAGTCAGTATCTTAATTAGTTTAAAGTGTAGTTTCATTCTTTAAAGAGTTGAGTTTTCTGCAATCACTGGTCTTTGGTCATTGGAACCCCACTTTTTTCTTGTGCCCTCATATCACTGTGCCCTGATGCATCAACAACAGTGTTGGGAAAAGCTGCCATCCCTTCTGATGCCTTTGAGGCCAAACAAGGGAAATTTAATGTAGCAGTTTTTTGTCAGGAAACACTTTGCAGCTCTCTTTCAAAACAAAGTGTTTTATTACTACATTTATTATTAGTGGTGTGCTGACAGCCAAATGCTGATAACTTGTGAAGTGCAACTGAAGGACTGACTTTTCACTTCAGCTGTCACTTTACAATTGAAGCAATTCTATGTAGAGCATAAAATAATACATTTCTCTGAGAAGCATTCATACGTTCAAACATTTTAGTCTGTACTTTCTCCTAATGACATGGGGCAGAAGGTTTATGGGATTTATTGCAGCTCATAAAAAGGCAGGCAGGACTGAAACTGAGATATTTGAGGGGAAAGGAGCTTTGAACACACATATTTTGTATTAACTCTGTGGGATCATGAACTTCCCACAAGTGCTGACAAGTATTTGTCATGTCTGCCAGGATCATACCATGAAGCTCTGTGTAAAAAACCAAAAAGCCAGGAATCAATAACCTGGCTGAATTTTCCACTCCTTACTTTAGGGAGACTTGGAAAGAAATTCTATCAGCTAAAATAGCCAAGTTATATATAAAAATGAGACATATACAAGTATGACAAACCTTTTCTCTTAAAGTGCTATTTTATCTAACACTTACCTTAAAACCTCAGTAAGTGTCAAGGGGGCACCATTTCTGTGGCAGATTGCCTGGTGAGATGTAAAAATCCTTCTGTACGCTGGACATGTCCAGTTTGAAACATCCCTCAGAGAACTTGCCCTTCCTAGCAATTCCCTGCTGGGTTGGGAAGAGCTTTCTGCTGGAAGTTTCCATGAGCTGCCTGCAAAGATCCCAGCAGCAGCCTGAGCCTCCTCACCGCTCCCAGGTGCCTTGTGCATGGCTGCCCTGCAGTACATGGCAAGCACTGGTAGGGAATTTCCTCGTGCTTTATTACCTGAGGCTTCTCCCTCATCTCCTGCTGTGGAGAACAGAAGTCCTGGTGCTCAGGGTGTGCAGGAGACCGCAGCCTGCAGGGGGCTGGGAGCAGGGTGTGCTGCAGAACCAGCCAAACCTTCCCTTCCTCTGGAGATTTCCAATGCTGCAGCTCCGGCTTTGCCAGCACCTGCCTGCTGCCAAGGGGACGTGTGCTTATTCCTCCCTGTGCTCTTGGCTGCAGGGCTCTCCATGGCAGCCCCAAATGATGCCAGGCAGGATGCCCCTTGGCATGGCCCAGGGGAATGTGAGGAATTTAGAGAAATACTTCAAGGGTCATGTCAGGCATTTAAAATGCTGGCTGCACGTTGGCCTGCTGGCTGCCTGAGTGTGAGGGTGTGTGATCCTTACTGTAGGATTACCCTCAGCAGTCAGCTGCTGGGCTGGCTTGGCTTTAATTTAATTATTTCAAGGGGAGAAAATGTTAAAAAGCTACTGAAGTCAAAACAGTGGAAGGGAAGGTAAAGGATATCCAACCAAATCCATAAGGAAAGGATATGACAGCCCTGAGTGCATAGCTCTTGTGAGTTGTTAGCCAGTTAATTCCCTGGTGTAAATGTATTCACATGTGTTGGAGAGAGGCCTGGCTGCCCAGGTAAGCTGCCTTCTGTGTGCTGCAGTTTTGTTGTGATAGCTAGAAAGAAACAACAGTTTGTTTTTCCAAGCAGAAGTGTTACAGTGGGTTTCAGCTGGGTCTCATTGGGTAACTTGGGTTCCCCCATCAGAAAGGTGCACTTTGTAATTTAAATCAGATGTGCAGGCAGAGAAAGAGACTTAAAGACTTTTGCTTTCAGAGATGGTTTGTATTTGCTGCCTGTTTATTGGTGTGTCATCTCCAATAAACAGGTTACAGTTGCTGAATGTTTTTATTGCTATTTTAAAAATGATTGTTCCAAGATATGAATTCTAGTGGAGAGACACCAGCAACTCCTTCCTCTCTCCTGACAGAAATGGGTACCCAGACCAGGATGCTGAGTGGAGATGTACACAATGAGGTGGCTGGAAATGCCCCCTGCCAGGGCAGCAAGAAGCAGCTTTTACTCTCGAGTATGTTTTGGGAGGATATTTGAAACTTCCATGGATTAAGGCATCTTGCTGGGAAGCAGCTTATCCTGCTGGCTCTCAAGGGATCCCATCAGCTCTGACAGACAGTGAACTGCTCTGTTTTGGGGCATGAACTGTGGTGTTCACTGTGACTGCCCAGCTACAGGTGGTTTCTGTAAAGGCCTTGGCCCTTCAAAAGTTTATTCTCCTACAGGAAGAGGTGGGTATCCATCCCTTTTTATCTCTTTTTATCCATCCCTACATCCTCTTTTTAATCATTCCTTTCTTTTCTATGGCATGAGACCTAATGGCCAGCAAAAGGCTGTGTGTGTGTTTCCAATAATCACATTTTTAAAGGAATAACCCAATGACAATTTCCATGCTGGTAATTTCCATGCTGTTTCAGCAGCAATAATTGTGTCTCCTCCTGTTAAACTGGTGATTTAACTATGCAAGGCCCCAAATATGAATATAAAATGTTCCTAGCTCTGGTAAAGGTTCTGTACTGTGCCTGTGCAGTGTGCTGGCATACAATGTTGATTTCATGAAAGGAAATGAAATCTTGAAATTGGGGAACAGATTGAGCAGAACACAAAGGAGACGAATTATGATGAAATGAAAGAATACTAGAAAATTCTGAAAATGAAAATACTTAAATGGAATAGGATGACATGAGGTACAGTGAAAAGTTTTGAAACTTGGTGAAATGACACATATTGAAATCTCAAAATCAAGGAACAGAGTGAACCAGAGAGACAGAAAAAGAATGATGATGAAATTTGCTCAGGTGCACGGCACGTGGGTGGTAGCAAGGAGCAAGGTGTGGAGGGAGCAGTGTTGGGGCGCAGCTCTGGTCCACTTGGCAATGCCTTCTGCATCGCAGTGTCCCTGGAGCCCTGGGCTCTGTTGGGGCTGGGGTTTTCTCAACCCTAACCCTGAGCAGAGCAGTGCTGAAAGCAGCATTTTCTGAGGCTAAAGTGGGTGCTGTGGTCCTGTGGGTGCTGCCAAGGAGCAAAGCGTGGAGGGAGCAAGGGTGCTGCAGTGCATTGGGGATTTTTTGCAGTCAAATGGACTGGAATGTGCCAAAATGATACTCATTGAACTCATGCCATTCCATTTCCTTTCATGAAATTAAAATTCAATTCATGAAGAATTTTCATTTCATGAAAGGAAATGACATCTCCAAACCATAGAAGGAAGAAAACCAAACACACGGGACAGGAGGTATGAAGAAATGAAAAACAATTGAAAGAAAACCTGAAAATTCTGAAATTAAGTGAAAACATTTAAGAGGAATGGGATTACATAAATTGCACTGAAAAGTTCCAAAACTTTTCTAAATTATACCCATTGAATTCTCCTTATCAGGGAGCGAAGTGAGCCGAACACACAGGAAAGGAATTACAATAAAATGAAATGCAATAAAAAAAAAGGAATATCTGAAATGAAATGAAAACAATTTAATTGAATGGGTTGACATGAAGTGCAGTGAAATGGACTGAAAGTTGCCGAAATGTTACTCATTGAAATCACAAGATTTCATTTACTTTCATTAAACGATGCTGGGAGAAAGTGAAATGAAGGCCATACTTCAGTAAATATTTTTTAATGTTAGCACCTTGGAAATCTAACTCTGGGGATTATGTCACAGGATATATTTTCTAAATTTTCTCAAATAATATTTTCAAGTCCTCTCAGTTATTACCATGGTGATCTTGCTCCAACACAGCATTGAAATTTTCCAAAGCATTTTATAATCATATTTGTGAGGGTATTAAATATATCTGAGTTTGCCTTCATACTGAACTTTCTGTAGGAAACCAGACAGGCAGTTTGTACTGGTATATGTAATGGCAGAACAAGGCTCCTATGTCATCTTGTTTCTGCATGAGAGGCAAGCTCAGCCCCAGAAATCCTCCAAGGTCATCATCAGGCTTGTGTTGGAGGGCTGTGCTGAGGAAACAGAGTTGGGCCTTAGCTGTGCTGCAGAATCAAGTTGTCAGGAATTTAAGTGGTTATATGTAAATGGAGCTTTTGGAGAGAAAGTTGTTACATTGCAGCAGGGATGTATGGGCTAAATTTAGCCACTAAAATAAACTGTAAAAAACACAGCCCTCTGCAAGCTGGAATGATTCAATTTGACCAAACATAAAATTGTTCCCTTATTAAGTTAATAGTAGCTCCCAACAAAAAGGCTTCAAACTGACCCTGGCCCTAAAGCTGCCTTGGGGAGCCAAGAAGCCAAGAGATTGCAGCCAGGTGTTTCATGAAGCCAAGGCTCCTAATGTTGCTTTTGCACTGGCAAGGAGCAAACCAGCCAGCCTTCTGGAAAGACACTAGCAAGTGCCTCTGGTCCCTGCTCTCCTGAAACTCTGCTCTTCTGCTCTTGTTCCATTTTATCCCCTTTGAGACAGGGTTGTAATTAAAATGGTTTGTTTCCAGTGCAGGTCGTGAAACACTGCCACTGCTAAGGCCATTGGGACCACTCCTGAGAGTTACCCGAAGACAAGGTTGAGAGTTTCTGATGGTGAGCTCACAAAACCAAGGCCATTTCTGTGTGCTGACGATGGCACAGGATGTGTATTACATATGTAAGCTTCTGGGGTTTTTTTCAGAGCATTTGTCCTCCTCTGCACAAAGAATGTGTTTTATAGCCAAACACAGTGAACTCACACTGGCTGCAGGTGCCCCAGCTTGGGCGCAGAGCCAGAGCTGCTGGGGTGAGCGTGGATTCTGCTGTGGCTGATTGTCGGTGTGTGCTGGCAGTGCCCTGGTGCCTCTGCCCTGCGGTGCTGTGCTGCCTGTGCACACTGGGCATGGGGCACTGTGGGACTGACTGCTTGGCAAGCCTCGGGCCCTGAGAGCATTGTCCTTGTCCCCTGAGCATCACAGAATTCCTGCTAAGACACACTTGCTAAGCCTCCACTTCCTTCCTGGTCCCTAACCAAGCTTCAAAAATATCCATGAGTGGGTGAAGCTATATGGAGAGTGTCTGTATGGGAATCATCTAACATGAGCCCTGAAGAGGGGACAGACTAACTATTTCAGGCTCTTCCTCCCTCATGCTTTTCTACTCCTCCTCCCTCTACCTCCTTCCTATTCCTATCGTATGTGTTTCTTATGCTGTTGGGATTTTCTATCACTGAGAGTGCTTGGCACACACAGCTTTAGAGCATGGTTCCAGCTGTCACTAATTTGCAAGCTTTTGTTTCAGCTCAGTAATACTCATATGCCATTTTCTGTCTGAGGATCTGATTCTGCATCAAATCAAAGAAGCACCACAGAGCGCACAGGGGAATGGAAAATTTTAGGATCCCTACTAAATGGAAAAAAATGGAGTCATGCTGAAGGAGGTATTTAAGCTTCGTTAGAGGTGGCAGACTTGGGAACAAGATCCCAGAGTCCTGCTTAACCCTCTGATGGTGATGGTTCTTGTCTGGGTCCATTCCGTGTGATCTCTGCAGCTTATATATCTGGGTCACTGTAACATTAGGGGTTTCAGATTTGGGCTTGCCTTTGAGCATGGGTTTGTCACTGACGGGTAGCGATCGGCTGAAAGCTGATGTGACGGGTCTGTCGGTACACTTTCATAGCCATAGAATCAGGGTATTGATAAAAAAAAGCAGTGGGGTGAAACGCAGAAAGCCGAATTACGGCCGTGGCAGTCCGGGACCCGCCTGAAGCCCCACTGGGCGCCGCGGGGCAGGAGAGGGATGCCCTGGAGTTCAGGGGAGAGGAGGCGGGAGGGGGCGAAGGGATGGAGCGCGATGGCTGCCCCGCCCCGGGCTGTGCCGACACCCCCGCTCCGAGGGGACGCGGCGGGCGGGGGCGGCGGTGCGGGACGCGTCATGCGGACCGGGAGCCCGGCCGGCCGCGAGTGGGCTCCGCTGCGGCCCGAGCGCGCTGCCGTCTGAGCATGCTCCCGCGGGGCTCCCCCGCTATATAACGGGGCCGGGGGGCCGGCGGCAGCGGCTCTGCTGAGGCAGCGGGGGAGCTCCGCTCGGCGCTGCGCTCCGGTCCTCGCCGTACTGCGCCTCTCTGCACCGCTCCGCTCCGCCCGGTACCGCAGCGCGCCGCTCGGCACCGCGCTCCGCTCAGCACAGCGCTCCGCTCCACTCGGTACCGCGCTCTACTCCGCTCCGCTCAGCGCTCCGTTCCGCTCGGTACAGCGCTCCGCTCCACTCCGCTCAGCACTCCATTCGCACAGCGCTCCGTACCGCGCTCCGCTCCGCACAGCGCTCCGCTCGCACCGAGGTCTCTCCGGACAGCCGCGGTCCGCGCTGCCCCGCACGGCCCCGCACGGCCCCGCGGGGCCCGTCCCTGCCCCGCCGCCGCTGCCCGCCGGAGCCTCGGCGCCCGGCACGGCCGAGGCGGCGCGCCCCGCTCCGCCGGCCCCGGCCCCCGCGGAGGGCGCTCCCGCGGGCGGCAGGATGGCCGCGAAGCCGGCCGAGCTGATGGGCATCTGCTCCAGCTACCAGGCGGTGATGCCGCACTTCGTCTGCGTGTCCGAGGAGTTCCCGCCGCCCGCCCGCCCCGCCAAGACCCCCAAGGGCAAGCTGCGGCGGCCGCGGCAGTCGCGCTTCAAGACGCAGCCGGTGACTTTCGACGAGATCCAGGAGGTGGAGGAGGAGGGGGTGTCCCCCATGGAGGAAGAGAAGGCCAAGAAGTCCTTCCTGCAGTCGCTGGAGTGCCTGCGGCGGAGCACCCAGAACCTCTGTCTGCAGCGGGACCGCCTGGGCAGCTGCCGCCTCCGCAACAGCCTCGACTCCAGCGACTCGGACTCGGCCCTCTGAGCGCGGCACGGCAGGGACTGGGCTCGGAGCTGCGGGAGCCGCACAGGAGCGCCCGCACGGGCGGCCGGCTCGGGATGTTTTCTAAGAAAGCGCTTGTACCTTCGTTTCTATTTGATTGTATGAAACTCACCATTTAAAAGACAAAAAAAAAAAAAAAAAATTTTTTTTATCCGTTAGAAGAAATGAGCTGTTTTAGATGCATTGAGCTGCCGGACTTTATATTTATTTTTGCATTTAAACTGTTGACTGCATTAATTTAATATGTTTCTACCTGAATGTCTGTTATTATTTCCATAAAAGAGTAATAAATCTGATATATTTGCACAGTACTTACTGGGCTGTCCTTATTTCAGGGATCCAACTGTCCTTGTTCAGCTTTCAGGGGTAAAGGGATTTAAAATCTGTCAGTAGCTAGTGCAGAGCCAGCAATGCTTTTCTCGGGGATGCTGCTCAGAGAGGTTTTGCAAGCTGTACTGTCAATGTACTTAATGAGACAAAAGTCGAGTTAGACTGATTTAAAACTATTTACTTCTTTGAGGTCTTTGTGTTAACCTGAATTGAGGTTTAAAGAGCATTTATAACTGGTGTCCAAGAGCCTTAATGCAACTGGGCAAGCCTCTTGCATTCACAAAAATTGCATATATAGTTTCTATTTTCATCCAAGTTGGTTTTGTCTCTTCTCCCCTTCCTCTTCTGACCCATAAATTTAGTGCTGCAGATGGTTTTGATTTTGATTAGATGGTTTTGGTAATTGGTTAGAATGTAGTTTTATTTACCAGAGCAATTGAAACAATGTGGATGTGCTTTTCTTGGAGTTCAAAAGTAAGGGGATTTTGATGATGGTAAATTTATAGGAGTGAGGCTTCTGTTGGGTTGCTGCATGTGTGTGTGTGCAGGTGCATGTAAGGTTTTCTCTGTTTGTGGGATACATGCTGAAGAGCATCTGAAGTCCTCTGCAGAATGGAAACCAAATTCCTGGACTGGGAATATTCTGCCTGTATTTCTCCATTTTCTTGAAACATTCCTGTGCTAATAGTGTAATCCTGTAGTAGCACCTTCCTTGAAGGCAAGTCTCTGGAAATTAAAACTTCCCAATCAGAAGATATTAGCTGATAGTGAGCTGTAGCTAATATTTCTCTGGTGTGATTATGATGTTTCCAATGTCATGGTTTGGGGTGCAATCATTCTGATCAGTTGGAGAGGTAAGGGCTGGGGCAGAGGAAGGAGATGGACATGGTGCTGGTGAACAGGGTGTCTTGGTAGGACTGAGCAGCACAGACCTCTCCCTCTGGGCACTGAAGTACAGCACATGATCCATGTGACTGGCTCCTGGATACAGGAAAACTGAAGCTCATCTCTTTCTAGCCTAAAGCTGAGGAAAATCCTGGGGGTGAGGGGTGTGGCTTGTTTTTGGACAGGTCCTTCTCAACTCCCTTGAGTACCAGCACCTCCAGCTGACCTCCAGCACCGGAGGAGGGTTCTGCAAGCAATTCAGCAGGTAAGGAAACAGGTCTGGGCTCTCACCCAACCTCCTCATGAAAAAGCATTTAAATGACCCCACGTGCCTCCCTGCATGCAGCCTGTGAAACAGCTTTTCTCCCTTTGCAGTTCGACCCTCGTGGCTGCTTTCTCTGCATGGTATGCACGTACATAACATCTATGCACAAGGCAAAGCAACTTGACCTCCAGAACAACTTTCATTCAGGCAGGCAACTGGAATCAGTAAGACAAAATCAGTTGTCAACAGCTGGGCTAATTTTCTTCATCAAATTCCTAACAGTAATTCAATTCTGGAAGTTCTGGGTTTGGGAAAGGGTTTGCAACATCTGCAAACCCTTTCCCAAACATCACGTGGTGACTCTGTAGCCATGTGTCTTATGTTGCATAATGTACACAGCTAAAAAGCCCCATAAGATTTCCAGAGATTGTAGAATGTCCTTCCAATACTGCAGGTTTTAGGCTACTTTTCAGTCTCCCTTTGCTTTCAGGTCTGGTACGAATCCCTGTGTTACGCAAAGTGTGGGGTATAGCTTCAAGAGGCTGTGAGCACATGATCCTTGTCTCTGTTGCTAATTTTTGTTTCGGAGCTGGGGTTGCTAGCAGGCCCTTTGCCATTGCTGCTGCCATCCCTCCTTCAGCGTGCAGCTGTGCTGCCACCACGCAGGAGGCACGGGAGGCTGTGCTGCACCAGCCAGCAGCAGAGCCATGGATGCTCTCTTCCTGGAAGGGTGAGAATAGCTGCGCTCTCTTTTCTGTCTCAAGAGACAAATGTAGATGTTAACACATCTACAAAGAGCATTTGAAAATCTGCTGTAGCATGTTTGAGGAAAATGTCATATTCCAGTGGTTAGGCTGAATAAATGAGTTTCTCTTTAACTGTTCTTTGTTGACATTTTTCTGTTCCATTTCAGAGAGAATAACATGGGAGATGCCAATGCTAAAGATAGGATAGTGTTTATCTTCCAAACAGTTGCAATCAAGGCAAAAGGGTGAAAAGCCAGAGTGATTTAGCTATGTCCTGGAGAGGCCTTCCTGAATCCAGCTGGAAAAATAAATCTCCCTCCCAGTCTTCCTGTGCTGCTAATTTTGAAGGTTTCTTGTGCTGTACTTTTTAGTGTCATGACTATCGTGTCTATCTGTCCAGTATGGATTGCAGGAAGATTTATTACATTCACTTTAGCAAGGGTAATGACTGCATCAAAGTCTGTCATCCACTCCCTAGGCTTGAGATGTGAGTTGTACATTTCCTTTCAGCAATTCACAGCTTAAAAGCACCCACGGATGCCACTTACAGTGCTGCTGGGCACGGCAGTGAGTAGGCATGAGCACTCCATGCCTGCACAGGAGGGAGCTGGAAGCCAAATGCCCCTGGTGCAGCGGGACATGTCTCAGGGCACAGGTGAGACTGAGCAGCCCAGGAGTGTCTTCAACACTATTTCTCCAAATTACAGGAAATTGCTCTGGAGATTGCACTCTTTAATAGAACTGCCTGTTATTCTCATATCACTTTATATATAAATCATTCTGTCCTCGTGTCATCCGGTCAGTAAAAACTTGAACTTGAAAGCAATTCTTTTATTCTCTTTCTGTTTTGTGTCCAGTGCCCTCCATGCCTGTCAGCATTTCTCCCATGTGCTTGTTTTTAAGTGCTGTGTTATTGTAAAGTTCATCATGCTGGTGTGGTGGATCTGTACCTCCATGCTTATTTTGGCCTGATCAGTGTAGAGGGGATCTGGGAACAGTGCTCTACTGGAATCAGGAAAAAAAAAATCCTCTCTGTTCATCTTATGAGAAAGCTTTTTCTGTTCTTTTTGCAAACATTTCAGCTAGGCTTGTTCAGTAATTAGTGGAGGATTTCTAGGTGCAATTTAGTGTTCACCTCAAGAGGCTGAGGACAGTCTCCTCTCCTAGCTGTGTGTGCACCAGTTCTGCTCTTGCATAACTTTTCACCCCTGGGCTTCCAATAATTCACTGGTAACACTTCAGAGTGGAGCTGTTATCAGGAACAAATATGAGAAGGTTCTTCCAATTCCTGCAGGTTTTTGTGCTGGGGTCCTGAAAATGCATTTGCTTTAGGAGCTGGTTTATGATGACCCCTACCAGTGCTGGGGATCAGATCCTGCAGGAGCACAGTGTACAGCCTGGGGCACTGCTGTTGGAAAGAAGAACCTCACTGTTCTTATCTAACCTCCAAAGTGACAGCAGAGCCATGGGACACAACACAAACTGAGGCATCTATTGAATTGTCAGGCTGACAGCAAACAAATTGCAGTGTAACAGAGGCCAGTGAGTGAGCCCTAGCAAATCTGGTTGCTGTGGTTTCTCAAATGTCAGCAGTGCCAGCAGTTGGCTGGCTGCCTTCCGTGAGGTTTGGCTCCCTGGCAGTGTGCATGGACCTCAGCCTCCAAAGCCCCTGGTCTTTGGCTTTTGAGCCACTGTCAGAGAGACCAGCATGGCTCTCCAGGCTGCACTGGGCCTTGCTTGAACCTCAGCTCCCATGGCAGGGCTCAGCCTTTGCTGTCTTTTGTACATTGGATTTGAATTTCTGTGGGGAGAAAAACCCTGGGGAGGTGCAGATAACCTGGGCTCAGACTCTTTGTGCAGTGATGGTGCTCTGGATTTGCAGTTTGACTTTTCATAGCCATCTTAAATAGAGTGTGCAAGCTGAAAATGGTGTTTCAGCAAGGCTGGCTCCTAACTTTAGGGTATTTTTTTAAGCTGTAAAGATGCAAGATTACATGCTGAGCAGAAAATAATCACGTGTCCAATAACTGCACAACAAGAGGATCTCCTTTCTCCTGAAGTAGGAAGCCAGTGCACAGGACAGGGAGGTTACCAGGTCAGCCCTGAGGGCTTTGTCAAGTAGTATGCAGACTTCTCCTTGAGTAGCCTGAAGTCAGGTGTCTGAATTTGGAAGAATTCATTAATGATGAGAATGAATTAGTTCTCAAGCAGCATCTTGCCACATGTGTGTGTCCCTGTGCCTGGTCTGTGTAGTCTGGAGTGAGTGCTGCTAGTAGCAAAGCTGGCCAGCCTTTGACTGTACAACAGAGCACTGCCAGATACTTAATTGGAAGTGCAATTACTTAACTGGTCACAGGTGAGAAGGAAATTCTTCCTGCAAAACCAAGAGGTGTGAAATCAGTCATGTAATGGTTTCTTGTGCCAACTTTAAATGTGTAAAGTCGGTAATTATGCATTTGTGACTCTTGTGTTAGCAAATATCATGGTATGTTACAAATAGCTTAGGGACAGATCCTGATTTTTGCTGCACTGGTGTCAGATTGGCTTTGGCTCAGCTGTGCTCAGGAGTCAATCTGGATTTGCTCCTTGTTGCATTCATGCTATTTGCTGATGTTGCTGAGCAGGTTTCTGGGCTGGCTTGAAATGTCCAAGGCACTTCTCCCCTGCTCCATCATGCTCGGGGTGCTCTGAGATTTCACACAACCTTCCACAACTTTAGCCATCCTTGTGTTTTGGAAGCAGTGGGAATGATGTCTGTGCCCTTGGCTGGGACATTGTCCCCTTCACCCACATGGAGAAGGACCCAACAGCAGCAATGGTGAGAAGCTGGGGAAGCTGGAGCAAGTGGGGAGGGGGCTTTCCTTTGTCTCCTCTGTCCATCCAGACTAATATGAGACCGCAGATGACTTATTTTGAAACCCAGGTGAGGTTCACCTGGATCTGATTTCAAATAAAGCAAGATCTACTTCAGTAATTTATTGCTCTGTCCTAAACAGAGATTCTTTGTTTGGAAATGCTTGCATTAAAGAGGTAGAAGTTATTTATTAGGAATTGGTGAAAGGGAAATTTTCTTCTTTAGTGTGAT